GGTACCTCCTGAATCATCTAATTTTTAAAGTGCTCTACAGTTCACAGGTGCTTTTATTCCGTATATGTTGTGCCAATAACGTCGTGCTTCTGGGATGGGCTGGGCATTGGGCTATAATGGCAAGCACACAGGGGGAGCCCTGGCCTCTTTCCAATGGAGGAGAAATGAAACAGATGGGTAAAAAAAAACAAATAAATTCACAATTATTGATTGCGACCAATATTTCCACTTCTGGAAGTGCAGCAGACTAGACATCTTGAAGGGCACTCCATTCCTAGGGCTCTAGCAATTCTGGATTAAAAAACCAAAACATTTTTTAAAAACTTTATACAAGGACTGGGTCTGGTGGCTTATACCTGTAATCCCAGTGCTTTGGGAGACTGAGGCGGGACGATTGCTTGAGCCCAGGAGCTCATGACTGTGGTGAGCTATGATCACACCACTGCACTGCAGCCTGGACAACAGAGGGAAACCCTGTCTCTAAACAAACCCAAACTTTAAAAATGTATAACTGAGCAAGCAAGAAAATAAGGGAAATCCTTACTCAGAATAGCAAAGAGGTGGGAAGTATGCAAGAGTCATGGAGGACTGCGTGAGTTGATCTGAAATTCCCCCAGGAATTCCAGAAGGAGAGAGGGTCAGTGTGGGAAAGACAGTATCTGAAGAGAATTCATCTCTATTTATCTTTCTATCTATCTATCCTCTATTATATTTCTATTATCTGTCTGCTTGTCATACCTATGATCATTATCTTTTTATGCATCTGTCATATATCTATCATCTATTTATAATCTAACACCTATCATCTGTTTGTTTACACACCTGTCACCAATCTATCTTTCACCTGTCTATTTGTATATCTATCATCTATTATCAATCTATCATGTATCTATCATCTGTCTATCTATATCTATGCTTGTATCTATCATCTGTCTGTTTATACCTCCATCTATTATCTGTCTCCGCATCTATCATCTATCTCTATCATCTATCTCTATCCAATGTCTATCAATCACCTATCATCTATCTAGCTGTACCATCTATCTCTGTCTATCATCTATCTCTATCGTCTATCTTTCAATCGATCATCTGTCTGTCATCTATCTACATGTGTATCATCTGTCATCTATTTACTTCCCCCCACCTTGTTCCTGTTTCCTGGAGAGCCCTGACCAATGCACCACCGACTGACGGGGCCCCACAGGTGTTCCCACAATGTTCCCACATCCCCAGGCTCCCCGGGACTCGGCCTCACCCACATTCTACCCCCAGAGCCTGTGCCTGAGAAGTTCCCTGAGACGGGGACCGGGTCCATCTGCCTCGCTGTGGTACCCCATGGCCTTGCCTGGCGTCTGGCTTGTTCCAGGCCTCGGGGACTATTTGGTCGATGAGTGCATTCATGCACCATGGAGCGAATCAATTGTGAAAGCCTCTCCTGCAATCCCACACCTGAGCTCTCTTCCCCTCTCTGGGCCTATCAAAATCTTCCTCATCCCTCTTCTTTTCCACACTCGGGAAGATTCATGAGGGCAGAGGCCCTGTCTGCCATATTCACGGCGGAGACCCTGTGTCCCAATCTGGGGCCTGGCTCGTAACACTTGTTCCACAAATACTTGTTAAATTAGTGTGGAATGAATGCCTTGGCAGTATGCCACTTTAAAATATCAACTGGAGCTGGGCTCGGTGGCTCAGCCTGTAATCCCGTGCTTTGGGAGGCTGAGCTGAGTGGATTGCCTGAGCCCGCGGGTTCGAGACCCGCCTGGGCAACTTGGCGAGACCTCATCTCTACAATCAATCAAAAAATCAGCCGGGCATGGTAGCGCATGCCTGTAATTCCGGCTACTTGGAAGGCTGAGGTGGAAGGATCGCTGGGGCCCAGCAGGTCGAGACTGCGGTGCCCGGGAGCGGCCACTGCACTCCAGTCTGGGTGACAGAGTGAGACTCCAACTCAAAAAAAAATATCAGCTGGTATTTCCCCCAGGGTGTCATTTCTTCCTTCTGCCCTTTCGGAAGGCGGCAAGGTTATCTGTGGCCAGGCCCCAGGGAGGGACATGACAGCTGAGAACACGAAACCCATGTCTCTTGCCTGGGTTTTCCGATTCCGAAGTTTAGGCCCCCCGAGAGAACCCTAAGAAATAAACAAAAAGAACAAAATACAAAGAGGAGATCGTGCGGCTTTCCTGCACTCCAGGAAATGAAAAACCATTTTCTGAAACTGTCAGAAGGAAGAGCATTGAAGAGGAAACAGCAAGACTGCAGATGGTGGCGGTTCCCAGAGAAAGAGGCTCTGTCCCTGCCTGGGGCCACCACCAGCTCAGAGCCTCCTCGTGTGGATCAGGAAAAGGCAGCCCCCTGGTACTCAGCTTGAAACCTGGACTGGATCCAGCCCTTATCGGCCTGTACGACCATGCAGGGCAGTCTTGCTCAAGCCCCATCAAGTCCTGGAGGAGGCAGCAAATGCTCAGACAGGTCTGTGGGGTCTGAACACAGAGGAAACCTGGGTCTTAAGCCCCAGGGGGAGCCCTCGTGGGGCCGGGGTGTCCCAGGGAAGAAATAGCCCCAGGCAAAAGCGTCCTGGGGCAGCCCTAAAGTTCTCCCCACAGAGGGTCTCATGGGGACCCATGTCAGAGGATCCCGTGAGGTGCCACAGCCCTCGGGACACCACAGATGACAGCAGTAGCCAGATGGCCACCTCCCAACTCACACGTGACACAACTGGACACATGTAAATACCTCGGAATTAGCCAAAACCCAGGCCGGTACTGGTGGGGGAGCCCCAAAAAGACTGAGATGAAATACCTGACTCCCAGTCGCAATGAGATTTCCAAACAAAAATTCTGTTGAATTATAGACAAAAAAGAAGTTAAGTTTTGTGAGCATCCAAGGCAAGAACTGAGATTTTCTTTTCTGTTTTTAACCTGCTGTGCTTGACACATATCTGTCGAATGAATGCTGAAGGAATGACAAGTACCTGGTGTTTTCTCGGCAGCCCTAATTGCATTCTGCCCTGATTTAATGACCAGAGCACGTCTGTTTCCCTGTCTAGATTGTCAATTGCTTGAGGGCAAGGTCTGGCTTACTCAACTTTGTATCCTTGCACACACCTCCTCTGTGGACATGCTCCTGACCTGGGTGGTCCTTTTTTTGGAGTTGATGTCTCACTCTGGCTGGAGTGCAATGGCACCATTGGCTCACAGCAGCCTCAACCTCCCCAGTAGCTGGGATTTACAGGTGCGCACCACCACACCCGGTTAATTTTTTTGTAGAGATGAAGTCTACTACGTTTCCCAGACTGGTCTTGAACTCCTGGGCTCAAGCAATCTACCTATCTCTACCTCCCCAAATTTTGGGATGACAGGTGTGAGCCACTGCATCTAACTGGGCGTTCAGTTGAATGACGACAGATGTAGGTGAAATTTTTCTCCAGGCTCCAAGATCAAAAGGCCCCCTCACCCTGGACTCCCCTCCCTCTCTCCCAGAGCAAGAGAATTCCTAAAGCCTGGTGCAGAAGGGACGTAGGTGTCCTTCCTGGTGTCCAGTACTGCAGCAGGCCTGGTCAATAACTGGGCTGGGACTGGAGATGCGTCTGCATCCCCAGATGAGCCCTGCCCTCCTCAGCATCTGGGAACCCTGGTGTAGTCTGAGGCTTGAACCCGTGAGGCCAGGCACATCGCAATGAGGGGCTGGGCCTTGAGACAGGGGCACTAGGTCTCTTGTCCTGGGAGCCAGGGGAGATTTACGGTGCTGAGGACTTGGGGCTTCCCAGAGATGGTGCCCAGGATCATGAGTGGTGTCATAGGCCCTCAGGGTTTGGGCACCCGGACTGGCCCAGCCTGCCAGGCCCCTTTCCACGGCCTCTGCCCTGCCTGCTCCCTGACCGACATGGTCACATGCAAAGGTTTCATTCTGGGTCCCCATAGCGATGCTTACATATTCTGCCCATGTGCTTTGCCTTCGTAGATATGGATTTTATCCCCCGGCCCATGTTTATAAGTTATTCCCTGTGTGTCTGTCCTTCCCCAGTGGCCAGAAGGTCAGTGGCTGCCGCCGGCTGGCCGCCTAGCTGTGTCCCTAGTTGGCGTCCCTGCTGCCTTCCGGGCCATGTTAAGTCCCAGCTCTGCCGCCTGCTAGCTGGGTGACAGTCTCATATTACTTGAGTGACTATAACCATGGACAATCTCCTCCCTGGTCCGGTCCTCTCCCCTCCAGGTTCCCACAGTCTAGTGCACCTGGGACTGATGTCCCCGTACTGCAGAGATCTGTCGGCCCATTGCTTCCCCCACAGACAAGGCGCTCCCTGCGGCCGGGCTGAGGCTCTTCCCTGCACCCCTTGTGTCCACCCTGTGCCTGCCTCTGAGCCGTGGTCTAAGGAGGGTGGACTCCTGTCCCTCCCGTCTTCCTATCCCCCTCCTCCGAACCTTCCTCCTCTTCCACCAGGTTTTGTGCACCAGAATTCCAGTCTGCCTTCCCAACATCCTTGGGGTGTGAGTGTGAGTGTGTGTGTGTGTGTGTGTGTGTGTGTGTGTGTGTGTGAGAGAGAGAGAGAGAGAGAGAGAGAGAGAGAGAGACTTGCTCTGGGGGATGAAAAACGTCACGCGAAACTGAGATGTTGCAAGGTGTTTTATTAAAACCATGCTAGTCATTCCAATACCCGAGAAGACACACCATGTTCCAGATCCCCGAAGGCTTCCTGGCTGTCCTGCCCTGCCCAGACCCCCTCCTCAACCCTGCCCAGACCTCCTCCTCATCGCAAAGGGACCTTCTGCTGTCTTTTCAAAGGTGGGTGGTGGATCAGAAAATGATGATGGCCGGGACGTAGTTGATAGCTTGGATGTGGGGCTAAGGTCCTTCTGGCCGCTGGGAAGAATTGGGTTGGGACTTAGAGGAGAACGAAGTAGGACCCCAACCCTGCAGGCCACGGTGCGCAAAGGGCCGCGCGACTCCGGGCTCCCAGGGTGACAGCAGGCCGTGGACAGCCGTGTGGAGCCTCCCGGCCCCAGCCCCAGCCCCAGCCGCTCGGCCTCTCCCGCCCACCCCCCCTCCACAAAGCGGACGCAAAAGCAAACTCTACAGCTACGCGAGATGAGGCCCCGCCCTCCCGGCGGGCAGGCGGACGGGGCGGGCGGCCGGGGCTCAGCCCTGGAAGCCCAGCTCTTTGTACTTGGCGGCCATGTCGTTCCGGAACAGCTCCAGGGCCTTCTTCATGGCTCCCTGGGCGTCGGCGCCGAAGTCCCCGGAGTGCTTGCTCTGCAGAACCTGGATGATGGCTTCCGAGATGAACTGCAGGGAGCGGGAGAGGGAGGCTGGTCACCGTGCCCGACGAGCCAGGAGCCGGGTGGGCGGCGGATGGCGTCCCACCAGCTCTTTGTTCCAGGGCTGTTCATTGAACACCTGCTGTGCACCAGGAGAGGTTCTGCTTGACCTCCGTGTCTGGACTCTCCTTGTCCCCACAACTCCACTGTGAGGTGGTTACTACTACCACCCTCTGTTTACAGATGGGGAAACTGAGGCACAGGGCTGGTGAAGCCCGGAAGAGGCATTTGAACCCAGGGGGCCTCACAGCCCTCCTCCACTCTGCTGGGGATGTGAACCCCCAGCTGCAGCACGTGAGGACTTGCATCCCCCACGTGGCGGCAGCAGAAGAGAGGAGAAAGGCTCAGAATCTAGCAGTCCAGCGTTTTATCCAGGCTTTTGCAATCAGCAGGTCTGGAGAGAAGCTAGGTTCCATGTGTGTGCATTCCGTTTTTCATGCAGTGACTTGGCATGGTTGCTGCTTTAAAGACCTGTTTTGGGGGGCACAGCCTCATGCATTCAGTGTGAAACCCAGAAACACGGGTGAGAGGGAAGGAGAGAGAGGAAGAGGAAAGGGATGAGGCTCCCCGCTGGCCCTGGACCTAGACAACTGCAGTCACCCCTTGCTCGAATATCCACAGTCTCATCACCGGGGAACCTGAGACGGGAGCGTCTGCAGCAAGGGACTGCTTGAGGGATCGAGAGGCCCGTAGGTGGACAATGCCACTGTGCTCTCTCAAGTTTCTCAGCTTCATCCCAACCACGGCCCTGGCCAGTGCACCGAGGGGTGTCCCTTTACAGAGGAGACAAGTGGCAAGACCGAGGTCACACAGTGAGTGGGTGGCAGGGCTGACTTTGAGCCCAGGAGGCTGGACGAGCCTCTCGAAAACCGGGAACAGAGGCCGTGAGGCCAAACCGCAGATGGGTTTCTCATTTTCTCGGGGGCCCCGGGTGCAGGAGACACAAAGTGAGGATGGGGAGGGGGAGACAGACCCGCAGAGGGGCTCAGAAGCACAGCGTCCACCCCCGGTAGACACCTTTCTGCTTGGGAACACAGCCAGCTCCACATGTGACCACCTGGGTGTCGACTTAGATGCAGGTGCCAAGCCACCTTCAATTTCACAAGTGCCACCAGGTGAAGTGGGGATACAGAGCGCTGTGCAGCAAGCCCTGCACTTAGGGAATTTGGGGAGACTCAGCTTCTGGGGTCACCTCTGCCCTGCCCCCATTGTGACTCTGCCAGCAAGATGGGGGCTTAGATGACCCCAGTGGGGCCCCCAGCTCAGCCTTCCCAGGGTTTACGGCAGAGCCTCTCATATCTAGAAAACTGGAATGGGGCATTTGCACCACTGAGAAACAGGCACCCTGGCACCACCCTCTGCGGCCCCCTGGGTCCCTGGGAGCTCATCCGTCCACAGGGGAGATGGAGGATGTCCCAGGAAGAGCACACAGGGTCCCTGTACAGCAGAAGAGCTGATGTCCTGGCTCTGTCTTCACTGCAGAGATGAGGCATTAAGTTAAACTTGCTCTAGGTAGACCTGGCTCCAGTCACTAACGGTTGTGCCACCTCGGGGACATTGTTTTCTGACTCCCCACACCTCCCAGTCCCCTCACTGAGCAGATGGTGGAGGGCCCTGGGGACCCTCCTGACGTGGCCCTGCATGGACCACTGCCTGCTCCAGTCAGTCATGCAGCGAGCTGCCTTGGAGGACCGCTGCCAGTGACCCCATGTAGCCGCCGCCGGCCTCATGCCCTGGTCCTTTCTGCTGTGAGCAGGCGGGTGCCAGGTAAAGGGAGACATGCCCCCGGGTGGGCGTGGGTTTCCCCATTCCACTCGTGAGCAAACCATGGAGATGAGTGTGGACCACAGCCTCGGCTTCCTCACACCTAGACAGCAGACCCTGTCATTCGGGTTGTGTTGGGCACTGACCACGTGCACCTGGGGCCAGAGATGGTGGCAGCTAGGAGCCCGGTTCCAGCTGGGAGATCGCTGGGCAAAGAGGTGGATTCCAACCCCACCTGGCGGTGCCATGATGAAGTAAGAATCAAGTGCCACCGGCGGTGGGGGGGAGGGCTGGCGACTGGGCCAGCCGGCGGCCTCGTGGGCCAGGGGCCCAAACCGAAGAGGTGGCTTCTGCGCTGGGCCTTGGAGGATGAGTAAGGGTTTGCCAAGAGAGATGAGGGGTCAGAGGGGTGGGACATGGCCCACGTGCAGGGCCAGCCGCCCCGTCGGGGGTTCTGAGCCCGTTGGGTCGGCAGGACTGTGCGTGACTTGGGGGGGTGGAGAGTGTAGGGGGCGAGGCAGTTGTTGATGGACGATATTATGCCACAACGAATTAAGAGCTTGGAGTCCAGAGCACAGAGATCTGACTGTGCCTCCTTACCTCCTGGTCTAGTAGCTGCGTGACTTTGGCAAGCCTCTTCGAGACCCCAGTTTCCAAATCAGGAAAATGGGAATGAGAAGGGCACTTGCCTGGGGCAGAGATTGCTGACTCCCTACACCATATCCACCCCCCTTATTCCTTGGCAAAAGAACACTCAGTATATTTGGAGTATAATAGACCGCACTTCTCAGCTTCCCTGCAGACGGGGTGGCCTTGTAGCTTTCTGGCCAATGAGGTGCAGGTAAAACTGTTGCGTGAGATTTCTGGAACTCCTTAAACTTCTCAGGAGAGACCCTTCCTCACCTCCCCCTGCTTCCTGTTTCGAGTATGGACGAGGCAACTGGTGCTCTTGCAGCCTTCCTGGCCATGAGGCAACTCTGAGCTTGGACACCACATGCTAAGGATGCCCCTGAGGTTCTTTTACGTGAGAGAAGACGGTGCTGGCTGCAGTCCCTAGCCTCCTGGGACAATCCTGAGAAGGCCATGGGGTGGCACAGGCGAGCGCCCACCGTGCCCATCCCAACTGGTAGCGCTTTGCCACACCCTCGTTCTCATGGGGCGCAGCCTTCCTGCTGTTCCCGCCCTCCTAGGATGCACCTCTCCTGCTCTCATCCCCAGCTCTCCAGAAGCTTCTCTCTCCACACTCCCTCATCCCGGCAGTTACAGAGACAGAACCTGAGACTCAGGTCCCACCCTGCCCCGGCCCACCTGCCTTTCCAGCCCATCCCAGGAGGGTTTCGTGCTGCAACACCCAAGGTTCTCGACGCTGGATCCGGCAGAGCCCGCACCCCGAACGGAACGCCAGAGGCTGAGTTGGGGTCGTGCCAGGCCTGCGTGTTACAGATTCCCGGTGGCACCGCGGTGAGGGGCTGGGGGGCTCCGGGATGGCAGAGACCTGAGTTTGGACCCTGGCTCTGCCATCCGCTGCCTCTGTGACCACGGACAAGCTCCTTAACCTCCCCGTGCCTCAGTTTCCCCAGCTATAGAGCGGATGTGACAGTGGCAGCCCTCTCTGGGGGGTGTGCGGGCTGTGCCTACTGGCATCCACTCTCCCCTCCTCCTGGGTCGCGAGGCCCTCGGGGGGTACAAGGTTTGAAATGTGTCCGTTCTCGGCCATTCCAGGAGGAAGGCCGCGTGGTGTCGGTCCTCTTTACAAATGAGAGAACCGGGCCAGAGGAGAGTGACGTGGGTCACCGCCCACACTGGCAGTCGGGCCAGGAGGCCTGTCCTGGAGGCCCTCCCCTCCCTCCTCCTTTCCTCCCCTCCCCTCCCCCCATCTCCCACCTCCAGGTACTTGACGGGGATCTTGTGCTTGGTGGCGTGCGACTGCGCCAGGGGCTTGATCTCGGCCTCATGCTGCCCCTTCTTCTTGAGGATGCCCCCCAGGGCTGTGAGCACGGTGACGCCGTGCTTCTTCAGGTCTTCCGACGCCTTCATCTCATCCTCCGACTTCAGGTTCTTGAATTTGTCGAACTTCTCCAGGGTCTCAGGGTGACCCTTGAAGAGCCTGTGGGCACAAGGGGGGCTGGAGCCAGGCACGGCTCAAGGCCGCCAGGCTCCAGGTCAAGTTCAGCTCACCCTCTTCCCCGCTGTGTGACTTTGGACAAGTCACTCCACCTCTCTGCACCTCAGTGTCGTCATGCGAGGAACATGGATGGCTTGTCCCTACTTAAAGGATTAAATGAGATAGTGTGTGCTAGGGACCTGCTGGCTGTCTGGTGCACGGTGAGTGTTGTCTAAACACCTGCTATTGCTGTTTTTATTATCACCAACATCCTCCTCCTCTCCACTGTTCCTGGGAGGGGCAGAAGGGAAAAAGACTTCTCTGCGTGGCTGCCTGGCCTCTCACTCCGGTTTTCCCCGAGTGGCCTGGGGAGTAGGTGGCCGGGTGGTATCAGGGGTGGGGCGGGAGCACGGAGGCTGAAGGACCCTGGACTGGTCCCATGCCAGGCTCCACACGTGCGTTCCTTTGCGGGCCATGAGGAAAGGATGAGGAAACAGAGCTAGAGGTGTGAAGTTGGGGGCTCAGCTGAGTGACTCAAAAAGGAGTCTGGGTCCATGCCGGGGAGTCTCCACAGCTTCTTGCCTAGAGACGGCCCTTAGGCTATGTCAGGAGGCCTCTGCTCCCTGTGAGGGCCACTGCTCTCCAGGACACTTCTCGGGCTCAGAAGCCTCTCACTGGCTTCCAGCCCAAGCTCTGACGACGCCCTGCATGTCCCAGTCCCCTCACTGAGCAGACATGCACGGACCACCGCCCACTCCCACCAGGCACACAGCCAGACCCCACAAAGACTGCTGCCCATGACCCGTGTGCAGCTGCTGCCAGCCTCGGGCCTCGGGCCTCCCTGCTGTGAGCAGGCGGGTGCTGGGTAAAGGGAGGCAGATGCACCCGGGTGGGAATGGGTTTCTCCGTTTCACAGACCCAAACCCCAAATCAGACAGTCCCATAATCTACTCCCCTTCCCTCATGCCACACTGCCTGGGGCTTGTGGCAGGGGTGACCCCGGCTGCCCAGGGCTGTCCCGTCCCCTCCCCCGAGTCTAATGTCTTGAGTTCTTTGCAATGTTCCTCTTTTATGGTTCCCAGGCTCCCTCGTGTCCTTGTAACGCCACCGTGGATGCATGCCAGTTGGAGCCCTGAGCCACCATGCCCAGAAGACGTCACAGGGAAGCACCTGATGCCCAGTCTCGACCTTCCTAGGGTTTTATGGGGAGACTGTCCCATAGCCGGGATGCCAAGCTGTTCTTCATACAAGCTGAGGATGAGTTTGCGTTTTTAAGAGCCACTGCCCTCAATGATCTGTTTAGCTTACGGTCCACTAAAGTCCCCAGCACTTTTTTTTTTTGAGTTGGAGTCTCACTCTGTCGCCCAGGCTGGAGTGCTGTGGCACGCTCCCGGCCATCCCAGCGTGGACCTGCTGGACTCCGGCGATCCTTCCGCCTCAGCCTTCCAAGTAGCCGGAACTACAGGCATGCACTACCACGCCCGGCTCATTTTTTGATTTATTGTCGAGATGCGGTCTCGCCAAGTTGCCCAGGCGGGTCTCAAACCCGCGGGCTCAGGCAATCCACTCGCCTCGGCCTCCCACAGTGCCTCTAGCTCTTTTCCATGTGAACTGCCATGTCTTCTCGTCCTATCATTGGGCAGTTAATGACTTGTGCCCACGGGCAGAACCTGCATTTCCCCTCCCTGTTTTCAGTTCCCCATTCTGGCTGACCACCACGGTTAGGACCCCGGGGGGTTTAGCAGTGAGCACGCTGGACTGACACGAGCTCACACTTGCAGAGCACCCACTAAGGATGTGAGGGTTTTACGGGTTTTAAATGTATCGACTCACTGCAGTGCGGGTAGGTAGGTATTATTACTACCCCGTTTACAGAAGAGGACGGTAAGGGGTGAGGCATCGTTCCCAGCTCACGGTCAGCAGGAGGAGAGGCAGGGCCCAGACGCAGTTCTCTGAAGGACAGAGCCCTGCGTGTCCAGCCCTGGCGGGGCCCACATTCCTGGCTCCTTCCCAGCTCCTTCCCCAGCACGGGCGAGCACCGGATGCTTGGGGCTTCCTTCTTTTCCACTGGGCAGACAAGAAGAAGGGACCAGGAGAGATGAGGGGTTTTGGCATCCCGGTTCAGGCTGCATGTTTGTTCAGGACACATGGGATCTCAGAGTGGGTGGGTCACTGATGTGTCCACAGGGCCCACTCCTTGTCATGAGTCCCAGGACAGAGGGGCTTTGAGGGAAGCCACTCCAACCCCTCTTCCAAGCACGCAGTTATTGTATCACACAAAGAAGCGTGGCCAGGAGTGGTGGCTCACACCTGTAATCCCAGCGCTTTGGGAGGCCCAGGTGGGAGGATTGCAGGCGCACACAGACACGCACAGGCACGGGCCGCATGGGCTGGAGCAGTCCCCTCCCCCAGGGCACGTCCCTCTCGCCGCCCTAGAACATGCTGTGCACAGTCCACAGTCAAGCCCAATGTCTCCGCCCCACCCCCGCCCCCGGTCCAAAGCCTCGTGCGTCACTGACAGCCTGTCTCTGGCACCTTTCATTCAAGGGTCCCTGGGCTCCTGACTATTATTATCTGGCGACAATGATCCTTGAACTCCCGCCTGACAGATGCAAGACCTGACACCCACGCGCGATGGCCCAAGGTCAGGTTGTTGGAAGGAGACTGTGGGGGCAGAAGAGGGCCAAGGACCTGGGACCCAAGACAGCTGGGGTCTCAGACATTTTAGGGGATGCTCCCGCCCCCGAATATCTAGGGGAAAAAACACGGGCTGGAGAATGATGGAAGCTGAGTCCTAGCCCTGGCTTTGTCACCAGTGCGCTGTGAGATGTTGAAGTCACCCAGCCTCTCTAGGTCTTGGTTGTAAACCAACTATTGGCCTAGGTGGTTTCTCAGCCTCCAAAATAGTTGCCTCTGCCTCATGCTCCCCTCCCAGCATGAGACAGCCAGAGAGGGCGTTCAGATTGACTCTAAAAGTACAGGAGACTTGGGTTGGTTCTTCCCTGCCGGGTCACGGTGGCACCACACAGCTGCCTGTCTCCCGGGAACCCGGGTCCTGCGGCCGGAGCCCCTAGGGCAGCCACGGATGGCTGTTCTCCTGGACTCACCCCACAGCAGCAACCTGGAACACAAGCAGCCACAGGCAGGGGGCATTTCCTCTAGGGTTTCCAACCCTGGCCCCCCGCCACCCCATGTCTGTTTCATGCAGTCCTAGGCCAGCCTGCCTGGCTCACCTCGCAGGTCTAAGGCAAGCCCCAGAGGAAGAGCCCGCTGCCCTGCTGTTCCTTGAACAGAGACCCGGTCCTACCCCGACATGGAGCGCTGAGCACTCTCTCAGACCCACGGAAACACTTCTGGCTCTTCTAGAGCAAAAGAGCCCGAGTGCAGACAGGAACCCACCTCTCGGGTAGAGTAGTGATCAAGGGAGGGATGCTGCATCCAAGCCGCCTGGATTGGAATCCCCAGCCCCGCCTCTTCCTAGCTGTGTGACTTTGGCCAAGTCACTTAACCTCTCGGTTAAATGCAGTGATCATAATAGTATCTACCTCTCAGGCTGCTGTCAGGCTCACATGAGTTAATATGGGTCAAAACACTTAACACAGGGCCTGGCAGTCAGTACTGTGCACACGTTTGCTGCCTTTCTCCTCATCCCACGTCCACTTTCACTGTCACCATCGTCCTCTCTGTCATCATCACCATCCCTGGGAATCTTAGCTTCTCCCTGCAGCTGCCACTGGCTGGTTGCGCCTCGGGCCCAGCGACCTGCCTGTCATATGAGACGCAGTGGCCACCAGCTGTGGTTCCCAAACATTTTGCGGCCTCAGAATCCTTTGTTTCAACAGAAATGCCAAAGTAAATAAAGCAGCAAGGCCAGGCAGGCGCCTGGAGCCCACTCCACAGACCCTCCCTCCTGAAGCCTCACCCCTGGGGTCAGGATCTCCATGGACCTTCCAGCTTCCATGTTCTAGAACCTTATGTCCAAGGACATGCAGGGAGGCCTCAAGGTCTGCCAACAGACAGGGCTTCCCAAAATCTGCCCTCTTGAAGAAATCGAAGAAATGACCTCTCCAAGGTCAGTGAGGACGCCCATGGTAACCATCGGGCCAGGAGGCCAGCTCCCACGGGGACAGGTGCCATCCTGGGAGTGAGCACCCCCACCCAAGGAGGCCATCCTCTCTGTATCCCAGACACTGAGGGGGCAAAACTAGCTGACGTGATCTCTGCATGTCCCACAGCCCAAGATGTGACAGGACATCAGGCCTTCTGGAACCTTCCAGGGGCCAGCAGACCCGGGCATCTTGTCTTGTTCCTGGCACCTGGCTCCAGCCCCTGGCAGGGCTTGCTGATCCTCCTTGATGACTCAACACCCTGAGTCTCCTTCAAGACTTCTAAGTCACTGCCTTGGCACCTGCCGCCTCCACATCTCCTTAGAAGGATCCCTGCTCTGAAAACTTTGGTCTCCCACCTGCACCCCAGGGACACAGGTCACTCCCAGGACAACACCTGTCCCCGTGGGAGCTGGCCTCCTGGCCCGATGCTTACCATGGGCATCCTCACTGACCTTGGAGAGGTCATTTCTTCAATTTCTTCAAGAGGGCGGATTTTGGGAAGCCCTGTCTGCTGGCAGACGTCGAGGCCTCCCTCCTCTTCAAAAGCCAAGGAGGATCATGGACTCAGAAAATCCTAGGGCATGAGGGCAGGGAAGGAGCTTAGAGACCAGCAGACAGTCCCTTCACCTGGTCAACAGAGAACTCAGACTCAGGGATGGAGAGACTTGTCTGAGGTCACACAGCAAATCGGTGGCCCAGGAGTTGATATCGGTTTGGGGGGAGGCTTTCATCTAATCAAACAGGCCCATTGTGGCCCCAGGAGCCAGCTGACGGGGACAGGAAGAAAAAGATGCAAGAGAACACCCCACAAGTCAACAGAAAACTCAAGACTGTTTTAGGTGTTTCTAGCATGGACTACTAAGCGTTCAAACTGCAAGTAGCAGAGCTTCCAGGACCAGTCATTCTCACAGGCAGATAGGAGCTGGGAAGGAGTGAGGCCCAGGGGAGACCGAAGAGACATCTGAGTGGATGAGAAAATCTCGCCCTGGCTGATAAACAAGGAAAACTTAATCTGTGAATCAAAGCGCCAAAGGCCATACACTCGCCATAGAATCCACTCCTCCTCCCGGGACTGACAGGTGGATTCACAGCCATCAGGTTTCTGATGGAACTGTCCCAGAACGAAGGGCAGGGGCCAGGGCAGGGGACAGGGACAGGAGAGGGTGTGTCGCCTCTTGGGGTAGGAGGCGAGGAGAAAATGAGATTCTGTGTACAAATCACAGCCATTTTACAGAACTCGGAGCTTTGTCTTCTTTGGTTTACACAGGAGTCTACCGCTGTAGGAGGCAGGCTGTGCATCAGTCTGAGCTCTCGAATTGAAGACATGCTCCACGTCCAAGGTCACCAGCAGGTCTCTGTCTGTTGTTCTCTGATGACAGTGCTTTGGAAGGTCCCTGGCCTGGACGTCATCTTGAATAGTTACTGACATTTCTAGAACTCAGACTATGCCAGACCTGTGCCATGCGCTTACATGCATCATCTTATTTAATTCTTACTTCTTCTCTACAATGTAGATATTGGGATTTCCCTCCATTGTACGGGAAAGGAAATCAAGGCTTGGAGAGGTTGACTACCTTCCCAAAGGTCACACAGCTGCTCAGCGGCAAAGCCAAGCCTGGAACAGGATCTGTCTCACTTGAAGGCCATGTCTTAGCCTTGACACTTTAAGAAATTTAATGAGTTGTGACTCTAGGAGTGTCCTTCCCTCTCAGGTCCCTTTTGTCCTCATCCAGTAAGTGAGGTGGCTGGACAAGGTCTCCCAGGGTACTTGTTAACTCTGACAGTCTAAAATTCTTCCTGGTAGACTCTGAGCATTCAGGGTTTGATGTCAAAGCTTTTTCCAGCTGCTGACATCAGCCTGAAATGGATCCTTTTCTCTCTCCCAAGTCCCATCCCTGACACTCAAAAGCAAAGAAAAAGCAAGTGGGAGTTTTAATAACCTTAACTTAAGCAGTCAAATGATTTGCCCCAGAGCAAACTTTCCACTTTATAGTCAACTGGTCTACCCCATGGCAAACATTCCACCTTCCAGCCAACTGGTCTACCCCAGGGCAAATGTTCCCCTTCTAGCCAACTGGTCTACCCAGGGGCGAGCACTCCACTTTGCAGCTGAATACCTTTGCTCTTTGGGGTGTGAGCGACAGGGGCAACGGCATCTCTTCCTTTACCTGATGAGGACTTCCTGCCCATGGCCAGGGATGTCAGCCTCCACTTTCCCCCAGACGCTCAGCACCAGCTGCCACTCCCCGTCGCTGAGCCCCATGGCGCGGTCTGAAGAAGGCAAAAGAGCGGGTCAGGCTGACTGGGTGTCCTGGCCCCGACAGCTGGAGTTGGAGGCTGCCTGGCCCCAAAGGGCTTTTATACCTTCCCGATGCTTCACAGGTCACTTGATGGCGCCCCTCCCCTCCCCTCCTTCTCTTTCTCCATCCAGGGAGGGGGTCTAATCTCTTCCTTTCTCTCGTCCTCACATGGGGAGCTATTTTGGGGCAGGTGCCATTGTGGGGAGGCAGGACAACTCGGGCCACGGCGGGGCGGGGCGGGGTGGCTGTGTGTGTGGAAAGCGGAGGGGGAGGTCGGGCCGCTGTCTGGACTCTCATAAGCCCGCAGAAAGGGCACCGCCGCGGCCGATGCCAGCAGCCTGAAACCCAATGCTCCCTGCGGTCAGCCATCCCGGGAGGCCCGTCATGTTTCTAAGCTTGGTCACCAGGTGCCCGGGCTGGCCCCGGGGCAGACCTGGCTCTCAGCAGTCTCCTCTCTCACCTTGTGCTCATCTGCTGATGCCCTCAGCCAGCTGGAGGGATTGGGGAGCCGCCTGGTTTTGTCCTTACAGCTGGGGGAACCCAGGCCATCCGTATCCTCTTAGAGAACTCCTGGCTTTGAGACTCTGCTCTGAAAACTTTTGCTTGCCTTATCCCTGCAGGGTGCAATGCATGACTCCCTCTGGCCGTGTGTGTGCATGTGTGGTGTGTGTGTGTGTGTGTGTGTGTGTGTGTGTGTGTGTGTGTGTGCTCTAGGGGTGGGCTCTAGGGGTGGGCTCTAGGGGTGGTACTCACCCCACTGCTCCTGTTTCCCTGCTGGCTGTATTAGTACAACAGCCACCAGTGCTCACAGGGACTTGGCTGGATACCAGGCCCTGTCCCAAGCACTCCACATTTGGTCGCTCGTTTCACCTCCCCCCACCGAGAGCCCTATGTCACAGAGACTGGCATTATCCCCGTTTAATAAGAGGAAGTTAGGGAAACTTGCCACAGGTGCACGGTCAGTGGATGGCAGAGTCAGGCCTCCGAGTCCATGCTCTTAAAAACCTTATTTTAGTTTCCATCAAGGCGGGAGCTCTGTTTTCTTCATCTGTGTATCTCTTGGGCCTCACTCAGGGCCCTGTACCAAGTCTGAACTGAATAAATTCTTCTTGAATAAAAAGATGGATGGCCTTAAAGGAAGGCAAATGGAAGATGACTGGTCTTACTTTATACCCATGCACCTCCCCTTCCTTCCTTTCTCCCTCCCTCCATTTTTCATCCATCCAGTCATTTATCCACACTTATCCATCCATCCATCCACCCATTCATCCACACTTGTCTACTCATCTATCCATTCATTCACACTGACCCATCTATTCATCCATTTATCCGCACCGATCTATGCATGCTTCCATCCATCCATCCATCCATCCATCCATCCATCCATCCATTGTCCTTCCTTCCCACAGTGAAAACACACCTACTGCCTGTCAGACCCTGCTACATACTGAGAATAACAATATCAAAGAAAACACATCCCTACGTTCAAGAATCTCAAAGTCTCCTGGGGGAGATAAGTAAGAGGAATAAAAACACAGTAGTTCATTAGCTACCTTATGATCAAGGTACGCACGGGCCCTTCCTTCCACGTGCACAGGGCTTTACAGTTTACAAACTGCCTACTGGCAAGATTATATCTAATCGTCATAAGGATCCTGTGAGGGAGAGAGAAACACCCCATTTTACAGCTGTGGAAAAAGAAGTTCAGAAAGATTAAGCAGGTGTTTGGCCATCCTGGGTCTGCGCTGTCTATGTCGGTAATGGCTGCCCCACCTACAAAGTTTTTTTAAAAAGAGAACTGCCCTGCCCCAGCCCTGTTGGTGGAACCAGTCCTGATCTTGGAAACACGATGCTCCTCGAGACCGGCTGCCAGTCACAGCTGACCCAGGCAACCAATGGTAGGACTCTGTCTGACAGCCAATGTCTATCCTCTCCGCCAACCAGATCCCTTCTCCGAAATGCAAGCAGAGTGTTTAGAAAGAATTGGCCACGGAGTCAATTATACAAAGAATCCCCAAACTCAGAGTTCCTCATGCAACCTTGGGCCCAGAATGCCCTCCATCCAGGTCTCGGGCGAGCCTGGTCAGTGACTGCTTCAGGGTTGCTGTGAGCTGCCACTTCCTGTATGACCCCTCTGTCTCCCTCAGTGAATCCCAGTCACTGAGTCAGCTGGTTCCCGACGACCAAGAAGGTTAGAGGCACACAGGCTGCACATCTGACGACCACCAGAAGCTAACTCAGGATGCCGGCCAGCCGCCACCCCGACCCGTCTCTTCAGCAGAAGAAGATGCGGCAGCAAAATGCGTAGCTAAAAATGCCATGGAGGCTTCAAGGGGGCTGCTCTCCTTCATTCAGTCATTTGTTCATTCATTTGTTCAACAGCCCAGCACTGAAGCCCAGTCTGCACCAGGAGGAAAGGCAACTCTGAGAGGCTCTGCCCAGGACTCAGGGCCTTAGCAGCTTTGGCCCCTACTGCTGTTACTTGCTGGAGAGTGGGCCTAGAGTGGGGGAACGGAGGGCAGAAAGAAGGGGCAGCAGGCCTGCCCAGGCCCCCTGCCCTGCATGCCAGGGGAGGCCCGCGAAGGGCACATCCCAAACATCCGGCCATTGGTCTGTGGAGTGCGGTTTTCCGATGCCCCTCGGCCCGTGCCCTCCTGGGAGTCTCAGAACAACCCAAGGGCAGAGGCTGAGCAGGCTGTTACCCGCATCCCAGGCTCCTCGGCCGTCTCCAGGCTCCTGCGTCAACTGGGGACAGCCTGAGGCTTTAAAATCTCATCAGTCCGTTCCGATGCTCAAGTGTTTAGGACAAAGCCGTCACCCGCCTGGCAGGCGCTCCCAGGGCGCACTCATGGAAACCTGCTGCTCGGACGTGGACGAACCTTTTAAGTTTTACCATTTAAGCTAATGGGAAGGCACCGACATCTGTGTGTACTCACACATCTCTACAACAGAGCGCGGTACCTACGGTTGCCATGGCGACCTGGAGTCACCGGCTCTGTTTGGGGGCTATTATTATCCCCATGACAGCCTTCACCATGGCCAGGGAGGGAAGCTGGCACGATAGGAAAGCCAGGCAGCCTTTGCCGGCAAAGCTTTTCGCAGCCTTTCTCTCACACCACACATACACACACACACACACACACACACACACACACACACACGCACGCGTGCACGTGCATGCATTGGTTGACACCCGATGGGTAGAACTGGATCCTATCATGTCAGGCCATCCCCCTCCTCTTTCCCGTTCATATCACAGAACCTTTTGAATCCCAATCTGAGCCATGTAGAATCATCCCCCAGACTTCAAATTCTGGAGTCTTGAAATGCCAGAGCTAAAATTCTAGAGCGCCAACGTCTTAACTTTCACCAGTCCAGAAACTAGATTCCAGAGCCCAGAATCATAGAAAGCTAGAGACAGAGACGTCTAGAAGGGTAGGGCCATGGCATCTCAAGGCGGAAAGAGACCTGCAGTGGCATCTTGTCCAACTTCCCACCAAATGTGGTTCTTCTTCCAGATCGTCGGGCCTCTGCTTGAATGCTCCCCAAAGCCTCAAAAATTATTTTTCATATCATCCCGGCTCTGCTGGCTCCTTGGGGACAGAGTGCCACCAGAATCCCTTGCACAAGAGAAGCAGCGGGCTCATCCGAGACTTTTCTGGTCCAGACTTAACATCGCGGGACTCTCCCAGGACACCCTTCCCAGGAAAGGCAGGTCGGGAGCCTCAGTGTGGTTAGGGGCTTCCGGCACCCACCTGCACGGGTTTGAGCCTCCTGGCAGCTGTGCACCCGGCCCCTCTCTTTTCAAGGGCCAGAAGTCTAGGCTAGGTGGCCTGGCAAATTCCTGGCCCTTGGGTAACTCTGGAAGCCTCCACCCAGGTGGACCAAGGATGTGGAAAGAAAGCGATCGCTGACTCCTCAGAACCTGAGCCCCCTCTGTCTTGGCCACCCCCCCGCCCCCCCGACCCCCGGAACCCGCCTTTGAAGGCCAGTCTGGGCAGTGCCTCCCACCTGCCTGAGCTCCCCCCAGCCCAGCCCAAAGCACGTCTTCCTGGCAGAGCCCACACTCCGGGCCCAGCGCCAGGCCGGGACTCAGAGCAGGGCTGGGGCCAGGGTGGGCAGGACCCGCCCGAGGCCCTTGAGGGGGGGGTAGGACCCCCTGCTTGCTCCAGGATCCACCTCCGCCCACTCCCCGCCCCCTGGGCTGTTCTTCACAGCCCCCTAGCAACCATCATACTGACCACACTCCCTTCTCCCAGCTGTCCTCTCGGAGCCTGCAGCCAAGCGGCCGGGGGCAGGGGGTGGGGAGAGGTGTCTTATAGCCTCTGGGGAGAGGCGCAGGGAACTAAAAATACAGTTGACATGGCAAGGCTCCTCCTCCCCCTGCAAGCCCAGAGGGGCTTAGGGAGGAGGGCTGGCACAACCAGCATCCCAGGCCCCCGTCCGCAGGTGTGGCCCGGAGACCCGGCCTGCCTCTGTCCACCGCCCTCCCCAGCCTCGGAGGCCACTGTCACCTGGGCCGAGCCCTGCCTCACCTCCACGGCCACCCCAGCCCACCCATCCCCCCTCCTCCAGGGCCCATCTCGGGCAATGGCTCCCCCTTCAGGTATCTCCCCCCCACCCACTCCGCCCCCTTCCCAGCTGGTCTGCCCCTTCTTCCACCTCTGGCTCCAACATGGATGTGACGTGGCCTTCTCATCTCTCTTGCTTTGGGTGCAGCCCGCCTGGACTGGCTTTACCCCATTTCTACCCTGTGAGCGCCTCAGAGGCAGGAATAGAAAAGTCACCCCTCGGCCAGGCATAGAGCCTCACGCCTGTTTTCCCAGCACTTTGGGAGGCTGAGGTGGGAGGATGGCTTGAGCCTAGGCATTCGAGACCAGCCTGGGCAGCATACCTCATCTCTACAAAAAACAATTTAAAAATTAGCCAGGCGTGGTGGTGTGCACCTGTAGTCCGGGCTCCTTGGGAGGCTGAGGCGGAAAAATCACTTGAGCCCAGGAAGTCAAGGCTGCAGTGAGCCATGATCTTGTCACTGCACTCCTGCCTAGGTGAAAGTGAGACCCTAACTAAAAAAATACTTTTTTAAAGAAAAAGAAAAACGACAACTCATACTGCATTGACTGCCTGCCTGGGTGCCGCTTCTCCCAGAAGCCTTTCTTTGCAGTAGATGCTTTTACAAGCCCCACTTTATGCCTGAGGAAACGGAGGCACCGAGAGGTTAAGCAACCTGCCCAAAGTCACACAGCTAGTTTCTAAATGCCAAGCCCAAGATCGAAACC